CCCCAAAACCCCAAAACCCCAAAACCCCTTTTTATTTTATTTTAATAGAATATTATGGAAGAATATTACGGCAGCAAATACTCAAGTTTTATCACAAGAAAAGATGTGGGTTATGATGAAATTGAGGAAGAGTTTAGAAAAGTAAGAATAGGTGGTGATAATTTTTTATGGGAGTTGTTTCTGATAGAAGTTAAAGATTGGTTTAGAATTATTTTGAAACATCACACTTTTTGAAGCCTATAAAAGACTTATCAAAATGATCTTTAAAAACACGCACGAGAGAGCCAAAATATTTTAAATGCAACCAATGGAGATACCCGCTATCAGGATCAACCAGAAAGCCTCTAAAACCCAAAAATAACTCCATCAACTTCCTAAACCCCATCACTCACAAAACCCATCTCCACTCTAGAAGCACCCAAAAACACTCAAAATCAGTCTCTACCACCCCTATCTCCCTGTAACCCCTAATTAACCACCCTTCAGCCCCCAAAATCCCCCACACATCCCTTCCAAAATCACCAATTTCCTTCCCCAAAAGTACTCTTCCCCTGACCCCCTAGAAAAATCAACAAAATTACTAAAATCTTCATCGATCAGGAACAAAAATCTCTCTCAGCTTCTCTAAACCCTCACTCACCCAGTAACCCAAGCTTCTGCAGGAGACCTGGCCAGGGCTCCTGCAGAAGAAAGTCACTGGGTCTAGGCAGGGTGGTGGCCAAGCGGAAGAACAGAGTTGACCGGTACCTTAGGAATGTAAGAGTAGGGATTAATAGAGGTAGGTGATGAGCCAGAGATATGAGGAGTTGGAGAAAGTGAAGAGAGAGGAAGGCAGAGAATGGATGATGTTGCAGTAAGTGCATGAATGAGGTATTTTAGAGAAGTTTTGAGGCGACCTGATGGTTTGGAGCATGGTTACAACCCCCATAGGGTGAAAGTACCAAGGATACAGTATTTGAGGGATAAGAAAGTGCCGAAGATTGGAAAGATTTTGAGAGAGTCGATTACTAAAAGTGTAGAGAGGTCAAATTTTAGGATAATAAATTAAGTCTACAATTCTTAAACCAGAGGCAAAAATGCGAATTTTTATAATAGAAAAATCTTTCAAAGGTTATTTTTCTTCCATCTATTCTTAAAATTTGAAAAGAATCATACAAAATGAATTTTCAATTTGCTTGATTAGAAAAGGGGTTTTGGGGTTTTGGGGTTTTGGGGTTTTGGGG